TCCCCCGCTCGGTGAGTGTCCTAGGAGCCCAGCGTGGACCTGCTGGGGTCATTGCGAGAGGCTGTGCTCGGCGTCGGTGAATTGTTTTGTGTCGATTTCTTTCAACCCAATGGCCCATTGCATGATGGGAGATGTTCGCGTGCACGCCCACACCATGCTGAATGTCCAGTAGTTTTTACCAAAAACAGCAGGACACCTTCCCTATTCACCCAGTCTCGCCCTGAGCATCTTTTTTTGTTTTCCACTGATGAAAAAAGTCCTCAAAGGGAAATGTTTTGCCTGTGTGAAAGAGGTGAAACAAAAAATGGCAGAAGCGCTAAAAGGCATCAAAGTTGATGCGTTTGAAAACTGTTTTGAGCAGTGGGAAAAGCATCTCGATAGGTGTATTGCATCAAACGGAGAGGACTTTGCAGGTGACTGACATTTAAACATGTAACAATATACAATGCTGTATAAATAAATTCCAGGGTTTGGGGGCTTCCCCCCGCCAGATGTCTTAAAAACAAGGCAAGACCGGGCACAGTGGCTCACACTCCTAATCTCAGGGCTTTAAGAAGCTGTAGTGGGGGGATCCCTTGAGGCCAGGAGTTCGAGACTAGCCTGGGCAACATAGCAAGACCCTGTCAGTACAAAAAAACTTTTAGTCAGCTGGGCATAGTGGCACGCACCTGCAGTCTCAGCTCCTCGGGAGGCTGAGGCAGGAGGATCGCTTGAGCCCAGGAGGCTGAGGCTGCAGTAAGCTATGATCCCGCCACGGCACCCCAGCAAATCAAAAACTGCGAGGCAGCGGCTGCCTGCGCACCGACTCCCGCCTCCCGCTCTGCCTGGCAGATGGCCGCCGTGGGCATAACGGAGAGCGTGAAGGGCGACGCCAGGAAGTTCGAGATCTGGTGCAACGCCAGGGAGGAGGTCTACATTGTGCAGGTGGGTGCTCCGTGGGCGGGGCTGGGGACCACCCACTCTTACAGGCTGCCAGGAAGGGCTTCCAGGGGGAGCTGGTGTCTGGAATCTCCCGGGAAGCTCCGTCGCCCAGAGGCCGGGAGCAGCCACGTGCGTTTGGGGGCTCCTGGACTGCCTTCAACCCGAGCTGTGCCCAGGATGAGGCATGGCAGGAGTGCAGGTTGGGGTGCTGGGAGGCCATGGCATCCCGGACAGCGCCAACGAGGGCTGCGTGTGTCCAGTGTGCGTGTCCTGGTTCTCCAGCGGGAGCATGTGTGGCCCTGCCCTGTCCTCGCCCTGCTGGTGGGGGGGGGCTGCAAGGTCACTTCAGGGCCCGTGTCCCTTCCATGAACCCATGGGAGCCCCCAAGTGCCCAGCGCAGGACGGAGCCCGGCACATGGCTCGCCTCCACCAGGCACTCTCCGGGATCCTGACCCCCAGAAGTGTGGCCTGGGGCTGGGCCCGTCCTGTGGGGCCACTGTATGGAGGCCCCAGCGAGGGCGTGGCCCAGGGGCGGCCCTGGGGGCCCGGCACCTTCCGGGCCTAGCTGCCCGCCCCGTAGAGACGCTCACCCCCGAGCTGCAGGGCCTCGCCCCCCATCCAGACGAGCGCACGGCCTCGGGCCCTGGCACCTGCCGCCTGTCCCATCACCCTTGCCCTGGCAGTTCTACATCTCCACGTGGGTTTCAGACTCAGCACAGTCCTCGTCGCCTGAAACACTGCCAGGTCGAGGCCACTTCCCAGAGAAACTGGCTCTCGGGGCTGTACCCAGAGTTTTGTCCGGGGCGCCAAGCTGTGGCTGTGTGGTGGTCTTGGCCCGCAGTCAGTCCACAACTGGCTGTGGCCCCAGGCGCGCCCCGTACGGCCCCCTCCCGGCCACTCTGTGTGAAGGGCCAGCAAGTCCAACAACTTGGGGACAGGCCCGGGGCGTCCCCTCTCGCCCCTCACACGCAGTGACCTGTGATGGGTCCTCGAGGTCGATCCTGCAGGCCACAAGTAAGACACCGAGACACGTTTGCCGTGAACCGAGGCCTCACCTCCTGGCGCTTCTCTTGGGGGGAACAGGCGCCGACTCCTGAAATCAAGGCCGCATGGGTGAGCGAGATCCGGAAGGTGCTGACCGGACAGCTGCAGGCCTACAGAGGTGAGGCGTCCGCATGGCTGCGGTCTCCTAGTTTGTGCCCAGGTGTGTCCTCACCTGTGTTCAGAGCCACCGCCAGACCCTTAAGTACGCAGGGTGCCTTAGCGCTCTTGAGTCGCTCGACGCCCGTGCTAACCCGGCGGTGTGTCTGCTCCCTCCTGCAGAAGCCAGCCAGCACCGTGCCCTGGAGCAGTCCCAGAGCCTGCCCCTACCTGCCTCGTCCAGCACCAGGTGAGGTCAGACACGCCCTCTGTGCATCTGAGTTTCAGGAGCATTTAAAAGCAGGAACCAGGCGTGGTGGCTCACACCTGTGATCTCAGCACTTTAGGAGGCCAAGGTGGGAGGTTTGCTTAAGCTCAGGAGTTTGAAACCAACATAGCGAGACCTTGTCTCTACAAAAAAAAAAATCAGAAATTAGCTGGGCATGGTGGCATGTGCCTGTAGTCCCGGCTACTTTGAGACCGAGGCAAGAGGGTTTCCTGAGCCTAGGAGGTCGGGGCTGTGGTGGCCATAATTGTCCCACTGCACTCCAACCTGGGGGACAGAGAGAGACCTTGACCCAAAATAAGGTGAGAGGTTGCACATGGCCCAGAGCTTCCCTGGCCTGCCTCTAGAATCTGGGTAGGGGGTTGCGTTTGCCCCAAGACCCCAGGGTCACAGGCTCTCGATTTTCATACCCAGAAAAGCCCATGCCCAGGGCCAGCTGTCATTGCAGTAGAGAAAGTGTAATAACAGCAGGGTGGTCGAGCAGGAGGACTGAGACTTCTCAAATCGGCCTCCCCAGGGCTCGGAGTCTCGGCCTCTTAAGGGCAGCTTGGTGGGTGGGGGCTGAAGTCTTCCCGTGCCCAGTCACTTCCTGGGTGGGGTCCCGGGGCACCGAACCGCCAGAACACAGCCTGATACACACCTCTCACACCCATCTTGGGCCTGTGTCATCTGTGACTCCGAGGAAGCGCCTGGGGAACAGTGGCTGGTCCTGCCCAGCGGAGCCTGTGCTAGGCAGGTTGCCATCGAGGAGGTCGGCTTGACCCAAAGGGCCCAGAAGGCCCAGGAAACACAAGTTCACCGATCCCGCAGGCACCCCCAGGACCAGGACATGCCTGGAGGGAGGAAAGGTCACAAGCCAAGAAAATAGGAGCAACGGGCGCCCTGGGGCCCAGCCACACCCGTGTCTCCCTGACGCCTGGGCCCCACTGCAGATCTGACCCTATGGCCTTCATTAGTTTTTTTTGGGGGGGGAGGTTTCCGCGAGAGGGCTAGTTGTCCAGCCTGGGGGAGGGTCAGTCCCAGAGGGACATCGTTGAAGTTAAAAAACAAAAGAAGCCGGGCTCGGTGACTCAGCCTGTCATCCCATGCCTTTGGGAGGCTGAGGTGAGTGGATTGCCTGAGCCCGCGGGTTCGAGACCCGCCTGGGCAGCGAGACCTCATCTCTATAATAAATCAAAAAATCAGCCAGGCGTGGTAGCGCGGGCCTGTAATTCCGGCTACTCAGAAGGCTGAGGCGGAAGGATCGCCGGGGCCCAGCAGGCGAGGCTGCGGTGGCCGGGAGCGGCCACTGCACTCCAGTCTGGGCGACCGAATGAGACTCCAGCTCAAAAAAAATTAAAATTAAAAAAAGAAAGACAAAGACACGGGCTCCCAGCACGCCCCAGGCAGAGCACAGACCCCGTCCCTCCATGGCCCCGTCAGGCTCACACCACAGGCTCTTCCAGATGACGGCCCTCCCCCGTGTTTCAGAGGCGGTCGGTGCCTCCCTTGCTCAGGGACCTGCACACATGCAGCATGATGCCAACAAGGCCTTGGCGTCACTGCACTTTTCCTGCCCTTGTTTTACTTTTTGTTTGTCTGCCGATATTTTTCTATTTCTCATTCGGGCAACAGGAGGTGGCCCGATAAATGATCCCTAGGACAGTAGTCTAAAAGAGAAACCTCCATCCCCCGGGAAAGGGTCCCTTGGGCTGAACTAGAGGCATGGCACCCTGGCGCAGCGGGGAACACCAGGGTAAGGGCAGGCCGAGCGCCCTAGACCCCCGGGAGTATGGAAACACTGACCGGGCCACATACGGCTTCTTTTCTGGTGTGTCCGGTGTCCTCAGCCCCTCCAGAGGGAACGCAAGAAATGCCAAAAAGCTGGAAGAAAGGAAAACCGACCCTCTAAGCCTGGAAGGATACGTCGGCTCGACGCCACCGCCAAAGCCCCCCGAGAAGGGCAAAGGTGGGTGTCGGCTGTGATGGCCTCAGGCAGGAGCGAGGCCCAGCGCATGCACAGCTTCTCCCAGCACGAGGAAGGCTCGCGGTGTTCAGGGCGCCATCCCCCACCACGCCGTAGAGCTTGGCGGGGAGCCCCTCATCCGTCGCCGGGTGCCCCTGTTCGGCAAACCCAGCCCCAGGAAGAGCAGGTCGGGACCCAGCGTGTGACCCGGGGACGCCCTGGCCTCCGGGCGGGGGCGCCACCCGCATCGTGTCTCTCTCTTCCCCTAGATGACGCGGTCCCTAGCTCTACCTCAGAAAGCTCCGCGCTTTCCAGAAAGCGCTTTACCCTGCAGGGCTTTGCTAACCTCAAAGGTCAGAAAGGTAAAGAGGCAGCTGCCCGACCCCACCGCCTCATCGCCGTGTCATCGTGTGGTGGCCACCGTGGTGGCATCTGTCCTCACTGGTGGCTACCCTGGTGGCGTCTGTTCTCATCACTTGGTGGCCACCGTGCTGGCATCTGTCCTCATTGTGTGGTGGTCACCCTGGTGGCATCTGTCCTCATTACTTGGTGGCCACTGTGTGGCATCCGTCCTCATCGTGTGGTGGCCACTGTGATGACATCTGTCCTCATTACTTGGTGGCCACTGTGGTGGCATCTGTTCTCGTTGTGTAGCAGCCATTGTGGTGACATCTGTCCTCACTGTGTGGTGGCCACTATGGTGACATCTGTTCCCATGCATTGGCCACCGCACTGGTATCTGTTCTCACTGGTGGGTACTGCGGTGGCATCTGTCCTCACTGTGTGGTGGCCACCATGTGGCATCTGTCCTCAGTAGTGGCTACTGTGGTGGCATCTGTCCTCATTGCTTGGTGGCAACTGTGGTGGCATCCATTCTCATCATGTGGTGGCCCCCGTGATGGCATCTGTTCTCATTGTGTGGTGGCCATGTGTGATGGCATCTGTCCTCACCCATATGGCAACCACCGTGATGGCATCCGTCCTCACTGGTGGTTACCGTGGTGACATTTGTCCTCATCACTTGGTGGCCACTGTGGTAGCATCTGTCCTCATCATGTCGTGGTCATGCATGATGACATCTGTCCTCACTGTGTGGCAACCACCATGGTGACTTCTGTTCACATGCGTTGGCCAACACACTGGTGTCTGTTCTCACTGGTGGGTACCATGGTGGCATCTGTCTCATTGTGTGGTGGCCATCATGTGGCATCTGTCCTCAGTGATGGTTACTGTGGTGGCATCTGTCCTCATTGCTTGGTGGCAACCATGGTGGCATCTGTCTCCACCATGTGGTGGCCCCCGTGATGGCATCTGTTCTCATTGTGTGGTGGCCATGTGTGATGGCATCTGTCCTCACCCATATGGCAACCACCGTGATGGCATCCGTCCTCACTGGTGGTTACCGTGGTGACATTTGTCCTCATCACTTGGTGGCCACTGTGGTAGCATCTGTCCTCATCATGTCGTGGTCATGCATGATGACATCTGTCCTCACTGTGTGGCAACCACCATGGTGACTTCTGTTCACATGCGTTGGCCAACACACTGGTGTCTGTTCTCACTGGTGGGTACCATGGTGGCATCTGTCTCATTGTGTGGTGGCCATCATGTGGCATCTGTCCTCAGTGATGGTTACTGTGGTGGCATCTGTCCTCATTGCTTGGTGGCAACCATGGTGGCATCTGTCTCCACCATGTGGTGGCCCCCGTGATGGCATCTGTTCTCATTGTGTGGTGGCCATGTGTGATGGCATCTGTCCTCACCCATATGGAGGCCACCGTGATGGCATCCGTCCTCACTGGTGGCTACCAAGCTGGCATCTGTTCTCATCGCTTGGTGGCCAGTGTGGTGACACCCATCCTCATCGTGTGGCGGCATCTGTCCTCACCGTGTGCCCCGCTCCTGACTCGCATCCTCCATGGCCTGGGCCGGGGGAGGGGCTGCCCCAGGCCCTTGGGCTGAGACTCCCGGCCTCCTCCCCTAGCCTCGTGCCGTGGCCTCATTTCCTGCTCACAACCCCAGCCTCTACCCGCCTGCCATCCTCGGCGTCCCGGCATGCACACCGTCCCGCTCTCGCGCCCGAGCCTCCTCACTCTCTCCCGCTGTCTCTCCTCTCCCTTCTGCTGCAGCGTCTCCTACCAGTCCTGACAAAAAAGCCAAGCGACACCAAGTCAAGAGCGACCCGACCCCCTTCGGGTTACGAGGTAGAGTGACTCGCCCTCAGGCCGGGCGCCACCACTCGCGTGGGCGAGGGCCCTGCCCCGTGGACGGAGACCCCGAGGGCCTCGGCCAGCAGGAGCGGAGGCGCCCACAAGCAGCCCAGTGCTCTGGCGACGGCGCGCCTCTCACTGACCCCACCCTGATCTGTCCAGAAGCCTATGTGGCACCTGGCCTTGTTGTGGGCTGGGGGTGGCTGGGTGGCTGACTGGGGCCTTACTGCTCGGGGCTGTTGTCAGTTGCAGATACCTGACCTTGGGGGCGGGTGGGTGGGGTCTTACTGCTCCGGGCTGCTGTTGGCTGCGGCTGCGGGTATCTGGCCTGGGGCGGGGGTGGGGGGGCGGTGGGGGAGATGGGTCTTACTGCTCCAGGCTATTGTCGGCTGCGGGCACCTGCCCTGGGTCGGGGGTCCTTACTGCTGGGGGGCTGTTGTCAGTTGCAGATACCAGGCCTCT